GTATGGAAATTTTGCACAACAACTGAGATGAGCGAATTTCCGATTATTCAAACTGAGAAGATAAATGAGAAATATTCGCATCTACGGTCGCTGTCGCAGTACATTTGATATGAAAGTGGAACTTGTCTGATACAATAGAGCAACACGTCTTCAGAAAGCTGTGAGAGGCTGTCGCTTGGTGGAAATGTAGTTAATCGATTCTACCGCTCCTAAGAGTTGTGTGAAAGGGCACACCGATCAACAGCTCGAGGAATAGGATCAAGCAAAAAATAAGTCATCAAATTGGGTGCAGCGGGTGCATTCGAGACAGACGGAATTGTTGACATCGTCTCAGCAGCGTCACGTCAGATGGCCCCCCCTGCGCTTTATATAGAAAGATGGTGATATGTGATCTAACAATAAGTATCATTCGAATAAGGAAGACTTCTACCGTCAGTTTTACGTAGATTCCACAGTACGCGCAGTGAGATTCACTCAAAAATTATGATATATCCTGCTTATCGATTCAATCAAAGCTAAAGTTCAATCAGTTAGTAACCATATAATCATTTCAAAATCATTTTAAATCATTTTAGAAATCAATTGATTTTTTCAAGAATCAGAATACCGCTCGAAAAATCAGTTTACCTGTCAAATACAACAAAATTCAAACTTTTTGCATATCCGTTTGCAGAAGAGCTAAAGGCGGCTTTCTAAAACGTTTTGGCCCCTTTCTAGATAAAATGGAATTTTTTTAATCATTATCGTGTACTATCATGAGCTTGTCTGAACGTGGTGTAAGATTGGGGCATTAATGGTCAGCTTGCTTTGTCCATTTTCACAACCATTGAATCCGATATAAATGAATGCAAAACTGACAGCGCTGCTTCACGTACTCTTTTAATTTCTTTTCAAACTTTCTGTTAAGGTTTGTCATGCAAAAATCTTTCCGGTGACGAACTTGCGATAAGAAGGTCATTGTCTAAGCAATTTCATTACCCTAACAAGGGAATGATACTCAGTGACCGTGGCCTTTTGCAGTGAGATATGTACCAGTAGATATGCCTCGACACACTGATTCAAAATTTAACTTCGTTATCTGTGTGCGACTCTCTGAACGGGTTTAGAACTTCTTTTCATCTCGATTTCACTAGATGTAGACAGTCAAAATCGTCAGTGCACGGCTTTTTGAAGTTTGGTATGTCGGAGACAGTTTTCCTGAGCTCAACGTGAAGCTTTGTCTTATTTGAACGCTTTTTTGTAGCGCGTAAGTGAATATTTTAACGATTTTGGTGAATTCTATCATCAAAACATCGCAAATTTTTGTGGCAGATAATATTCATAACTTCGTCTGGAAGAGCGCACAGCGCTTCAAGATGCATTTAATGGTGTATGTTTCATTTCAAAAGGCCACGGTCACCAATTATCCTTTCCTTGCAAGAATATGAAGAGATAAAACTAATAAGAAATTCCAACTTACAACAAAAATTGCAAAGAGCAATTAATTATTGAAAGCATTTCCAGCCAAAAGGTAAGTACTTCACGCTTGATAATTTTGGGCACACAAAGTGTTTTGACTAAATGATGGTACGAGTGTTATTGACACTTTTTGCATTGCTAGTACACTCATATTGGGCAAAAGTTACTGAAATCTCTTTCATAGTGCGAGGGAAAGCAGCGTTTATTTTACAATGACAAAAAAGAGCAGAATTTTTATGGAAAGATGGCAGCGGCTACTTACGCGGTATTTTTCTTAACCTGTATTTGTAAACTTGCTCACAAGGAAGGCTCATAAACTCGAGGGCCGATTAGCAAATATACCTATCGTTACCAAGAACTTAAAGCGCTGTTCTCATCTCTTTCCATGAACTTTTCTGAAAAGAAGGTTATGAGCGTTTGTGGGCAAGCCTTGGCCGTGGACTTTTTGCTCCCTCATACACACTGAAAGCAAGGGCAGTGGCAAATGTGTCGTCCCAAAATAAGCTAGCTCGATTTCGCTATAAGATGCTATCTGACATGTATGTAAACTCTCGAGAACTGAGAGATAAGCTCTTGAAATAATTTTTCGTACGTTAAATCCGTCTTCAAAGCAAACAACATTGTCAAGTGAGTTGCGACTCACATTAGGTTATCCTGAAAGTTTTATGACTTTAATTGATCTATTAACAAAATTCACAGAACATTCTTGGACGAACAAACTTGGCATTGTTAGTTTTGGATCTTCATTCTCCTTCTGCCAGCTACAATTTTTGTCTTATCTATGCACTTAGTGATTTTGTCGCCGTGACTTTTAAGCACCTCAAAGGTTGCAGCAAATTTTCCGTGATTCAAATATAGGAAAAAATTTTTATCCCAATGAAGAAATGCTGATAATCTTAGGGTAAGCTTTTGGCCACATTGTACTTATCTTAGATTAAGTGAATCAAGTTATTTGAGGTCTGTAATAATTATTTATTTAAAAGCTCAGAATTCTTGAGTACGTACAGGGTGCACCAAAATTACCGCCAAAATTATTAAAATCAATTATTATTAAAATTATTAAATTAAAACTAACTTTACAAACACCGCCACGAAGGAATCACTGAGAAGTAAAAGCTCAAATTTATATTATAGAAGGCTCTAATCAAAAAGAACTTTTTACTTGAGAATCAAAGGAATCACACTAGCGTTTTCAAAAAAAGCAAAAATGGAAATTTTTATATTTTCATAAATTGCTCTGTAACTGAATGAACTCAAAGACTTTCTTGACTACTTTAAACAGAGGTTCTAGAGCACAACTTGCACTATCACACTGGTCTAATTACATGTACAGAATTTGTTCCTTCACGAAACTTCAATATCGATATCCTAATAATCCTAATAATCCTGATAAGCCTAATAATCGCAAAACCTTTTGAGTAAAAAACAGTTCTAATAGACATGTAGACGAGCATGTACATAGAACCGATTGGCTGAGATAGTTTTGAATCTGATTGATCTGATTTTCTGATCGTGAAGGGCCACGCATACGTCACGCGATTTCAGTCCGCGACTTGGCAATTTGCCAGAAATCTTCTGATCCAACACTACCAAACTGCACACGCATAGTAAATATAACTTACGTGGATTGATGAAATGAACTATCGTTTGTACGTTTACATTGTGCTTACAATGAGTTATGGACAGCTGGAATATTGCCAGATCTCGTCGCGACTGAAATCGCGTGAAAAATATTCGGCCCTTAAGTCGCATTCAGGAAGGCCAAAATCAAACCAATTTTTGGTATACTGCCTTTCAACCATGTTTTTGAGAGATCAAAAATTCTCTTCGAATTCATTTTCAAATTTCCAGACTTAGCAGTGTTAGATGCGAAGGCTTGCTCTACTTTAGTACGCAATTACAAAGCAAGAAAAAACCTTATTTAAAAATGTTATAAAAATTCTCAAAATTATTCTTGCGCACAGAGTAGGTTGGTGAGAAGAATTGGGATTTTTTTCGAGAGATAAATCAGCCAAATTCTGATTTAACTATTGCAGTAGACAATGATGGTTGGTGAAAACAAATGCATACTCGATGCGTCCTCAAGCCCGTCTAGTATCCTTCTGGCACTCAAGGAAACATGATTTCTTAAAGGCAATTCAAACAATTATTTTGCACAAACTATGTTAAACCACGATCAAGCTTCAACTCGCAGGAACTATAGAAGCTTTCATGTTTTAAATGCAATTGTGTGTTTCATGACCTTAGCAAAAATCGAGATGTCCAAACGATTTTTCAAAGCTCTAAATAGCAAATAGAAGCTAAGGGCATTATAGTATAGTCATGCTCATCTGTGTCATTTCTTTCCATTTCCAAAACTCTAAGTTGAATTTTTTTGGAAATTAGCTGAACTTCGAGCAGATAAAAATGACGGGTGAAGCATTTTAGCAGTTATCAGTAAGCATCCCGAAAATTATGCTTCGAAAATTTTATCGTCAAAAAGAGAAGGAAAAGCAGCATCGAATGGAAAGCATTCAGGCCTTCATTGTACTAGCTGTTACAGTCGTTTCGAAAAAAAAACATACAAAACTTTCGGAAGAACTCAAAATCATGAATCGTCGAGAAAAATATGTAAAAGAAAGACTCACAGGTTCCATTGTAAAACCTTTCAAATATGCGTTAATTTGCCTCAACCTAGATTAAATGTTGAAATCAAAAGAGCAAAGTCTATGTTCTGGGTTCTCTTAGCGAAAAATTAAAATTTGACCGCTCAACCTTATTGCTAAGAAAATTCAAATTTGAAAATTATGCAAAGTTTCCGATATTCAACCCTGAATTTGAAAACTATTTCATTTGTGAATGTTTACACATAACAATGTATGATGTATTATGTTGGAAAGAAAAGAATGTCGTATTTTACAGCAAAGAAACAGGACGAATCAGAAAAAATACGCGAGGGGTATTATTCGGCAGAGCTAAGCAAGCTTTACAAGATGACCTCCAGACATTGGCTTGACTCGCTTTCGGAATGTTTAAAGCTAAAACACAAGGGCAATTCATAGTGTCAAAATCGGATTTGCACTCAAAAAAATTTCATGAATTTCTTATTTGCTCCAGCATGTAGCAGATATATGCACTTATCCATATATGTACTTGCTATACTTTTTTCACGAATAAATGTCAAGAAAAAATCGAAAAAACCTAAAATGGAAAACCCCGCCTCTAGTGGTCTTGAGCTTCCCATATATATGCGTTTGTGTACTGTAAACTTTCGCGAATTCAAATATGAAATTTTAGCATTGGATTACTCTAGTTCATGAAATTCCAATTTAGCTGAAAATCCCCGAAAATAGCGACATTCTTTTTTTCTAGCTAGTATATTCTGGAATCTTTTCTCAAAGGGATCAGCTTATCACAACCATTTTTTGCTAACGAAGTACCGTATCAGAGTATCAGATACTTCCTTATCGCAAAGCTAATCCTAACAACAGCTCTCTAGCAAAATCAGCAGTAATGTTATCTCTTATGTTTACCCGTCCCGACTTTTTTCTTGATAAGGCGTGATGGTGCGCCTTGTCGGCCTCGCCGTAGGACTTTTCGGTATGTTCTGCAAAATGTACTGATTACGACTTTCAATTAATAAAAATTGTTCTTCTCAAAGTTCCTCGGTTTTTAGTTACTGAAAGCTGCCAACAAGATTCTCCACAAATTCTACTTCCTACACTTTTTCCTTTTTTAGCAGTCATCCGTATCTCTAATGGTGCTCTTCAATGTAATTCTACAAGCGACGAAAACACCTCCTGCTCCCGAAACACCATACTTGCTATCGATGCCACTAATTATATGCTATCCTACGAGAACATTCGCACCGTATGTTTGACAGCTATGAAAAAATTCATGACAAAATTTTTGCTTACAGGAGTTTGACTTCATAGAAACCTGGGTACTGCCTCGATTAGACATTAGAACGGGATACGTGGCTGTCGGAATGACAGCATACGGTAGATACAAAAAAAAATTACCGAAAAATTTATTTCATAATTTTGAGAAAAAATCGCTTAATTTTGATGTAAATTGCTAACTACCCTTTGATTCAACTGGATTGGCGGCTGGAAGGCGGGCTTCGTGGTTAGTTAGGGCTAGAAAATGGTCAGAACGCGGATTGCGTCGCGGGCGCGGGCGGTCGCCTTCCAGCCACTAATCTAATTAAACCAAATGGTACATTTGTTTTTCTTCTAGGCACTGGATCAACCACTATCTACGATTTTAGCTACGATAAGCCACAAATTTGTGAGAACATAGAAAAATTGTGGGGTGGCGTGGATTTTACGACTGCCAGCAATGTGCCTCTGTCAAGGTAAATCAATGACTTGAAATTGAATTTGAAAAATGTAATTTTTGTTTCAAGAACTATACGAAATCTTTTCAACAATTTTGGCTTCGACTACACATCATTAGTACTTTTCACCGGTGATAGGTGAGTGCTTTGAATTGAATGTTGACATGGAGCGCTATTCTATTTGCAAAGCTGATCATTAGTTTTTTCTTTTGATAGAAAGAGAAATAGAAATAGTGATGTATAAAGTGTGGTACTATATGAACGTTGTGTACTATGGAAATCAATTTGCAAATGAATAATTCTAGCTCCGTTTCCTTCCTGTCCTTAGGCGAAGCGCAGGAACTTCGGGCTTTTCCCGGAACTCCTAGTAGGGAAGTAGAGCCCGTGAGCCTGTGTTATTTCTATATCAAAGGTTTTTGATGAATGTCAAAATTGATGTTGTAGTATCAAATCTAACTTACATGTTGAAAACCACCACTTTATTTTTTGTGTGCAGAAACTGCATTAAAGCAGTTGGCCAGTCAGTCGTGCCAGTTGGCCGGGAACTAGCCCGCGGCTTCTCTCGGACCGGGCATTGTCGTTTCGCAGTTCCTCGATTCCTCCAGTTTGATCCGCCTCCGCAGACCACCGGTCCTGCAACGACATGCAACAATAGCAAAAAGACCAGTGGCTTGCGAATGTGGGCTCAATTTGGTAAAATTCCTTTTCCAACCCAGGGGCGCTTCCATCTTGCTTACCGCTCTCATGTCTGACCCCGCCCACCTTGCGATTCCCCTTCCACCGTATGCTATAAGCATAGGGGCGGTGCAAGGACCCTACGTCTTTGATATGGCGGGCTTTACGTCCACACGTTATGTTTGGAAATGATGGCCTTTAGAAAATGCTCGTTCCGGCCACTTCCGTGCTTTCCAAGGTGGCTACTCAAAAACAGCGCAGCGCATTACCCTGGGTAAGCGAGAAACAGATGCTTTGAAGATTCATCGAGTCATTTCCTTTAAACACAAGCTCCATAAATTTCAATCTGTTTGTTTCCAAAAACATCAACAAGGAGGACAACGGTACAGAGTGTGTAGTGGGCTACAACAGAATGAATTCAAGCGTGAGGTCTCCTAAAACTCCTTCCACCTAACAGCGTCTTTGCAAGTTCAAAGCAATCCTGTAAGCACCTCCGCCTGCAAGCCTCAGCAAAATAGCGTCATTTTTGAAGAAAGCGACTATTATCACCGAATTGTATTCATTAGCGCAGCGTCAGCATGTATGAGGAGCGTCTTTTGCATGTGATAGAGATATTGGCAGTGGCGAAATTCTAGGAATTTCATTCGGGGTAGGAGGGGGGGGGGGGGAAGAGAAAAAATTCTTTACAAATAGAGTGAGTGGCTTTATCCACTTATTTGGAAAACTCCTTTGGGATGCTTCTCAAAAGTTTTGGGGGTCTGACCCCTCAATTATGAAAAAAGTGGCTGCCGCTATTTCCCCAAAAAATTTTTTTACAAGAGGCCACTTTGAATTCTCAGAAAATTCAAGTTATTTCAATCGTTTGGAAATATTAAGTTGTCCCAAAAGTAAACCGTATTACAAATAAATCAAACTGCTTTTGTTCTTTTAGCAAACTTAGGATACCATTGATAGAGCGAAGCAAGCTCTACAAAGTGACTACCATAGATCCGTCCAAGTCGTGATCCAGGTAAAATTTGGATCTAAAAATCGAAAGTTTTCAACTACATTAAAAATTGGATCTCCTTTCAGAAAATTCGTACAGAACTCCTACTCGGTCATTATGGTAGACACATAGTAGTACCCAAAAACGTATTTGCTGGAATTTTTGCGGGGCCCAAAACTGAGAAATTAAAATGGTTTGAAAATGCAAAAATGCCACTTTTTGCGGGTTTTTAAAGGTTAAACCTTGTATTTCTCGATTACCAAAGCACAAACGGAGGTAAAAATCCAAGGTTATATCAAGGCTTGTAGTATACAATGACATATATGGGAGGGGCTGGGGGCGGAGTTTGCCAATTTTAGACTTCCTTTTTTCTCGCTTTCTAAGCGCGAAAACAATCAACTAGCATGTTTCAGTATACTATGTGTCTGCTGTATAAAGACCGAGTTTGAGATGTATAGGAATTTTCTTTGAAACTTCAATTTTAGGTGATAAATTTTTTCGATTTTTGCCCCAAACTTTACCTGGATTACGACTTGGGTGGTTCTTTGGTGGTCATTTTGTAGAGCTTGTTTCGCTCTATCAAATGATATCCTAATCTGCTAGAAAAACAATAATGATTCGATTTATTTAGAAAGACGGTTTACTTTTGGGGCAACCTAATATAAATGTAAATCATGTACCCTAAAACCCATAGATAAGAGCGGTTTAATTTACCGGTGAAAAATGAATTGGAAAAATTGAAAACGAAAGCAGTCACCCCAAGAACTTGATGGATGGATAAATAAAAATCGGAGAAGAAGTTTAGAAAAAGCTCCACCCCTCAACCTCAATCCTCGCCCACTTAATAAACAATTCATATAGAAATTCCGAAATTCCGTTAAAATCGCTACTTTTCTATATGAATTGTTTATTAAGTGGGCGGGGTTTAGAGTTGAGGGACGGAGCTTCTATTTATCCATCCATCAAATTAGAGGGGTGACTGCATTCAATTTCAATTTTTCCAGTTCATTTTTTACCGGTAAATTAAACCGCTCTTATCTATAGGATTCAAGGGTAACTTGAAAAATTTCGTGACCTGCTCTCAAGGGGAAGGGGATTTGTAGAGTAGCGAAAGTGATTGTAAAAAATGATTATTTCTTTGAATTGAACCGTTCCGCCTATTTTGAGAAGATTTCGGGTATTCAGCTAAATTTTGCTAACTCGTCCCTGGTCCCTGTGCATAGAAATCATTTCGCATTGATCGATTACAACATTAGTAGAAGCCAGAAATTGAGATTTTTAAAGATCCTCAGACTTCGTTTGATTGCGAAAATATGCCCATTTTAGCATGAGTAGTAGGATCCATTCAAAATTGCTCATATTTCTGATAATAATTTCGAAATCAGAATAGGATTGATTTTCTCTGAATAAATTATGGTCACATCAAATCGCGTAGTTCTTATTCAGTTTGAGTTGTGTCACATCTAATAGACAATTAGTATGTGATAATTGCCTAGCATATTGGTATCTTCTTTTTTTCTATCTAAATAATCTTAATGACAAAGTTTGCCAATTTTCAGAGATCAAAGCGATGTAGATGCTGCAGCATCTCAAGTCCACTACTACATTGATAATAAATTGGCTAGAGATTTTTCTATAGTGATTGTAAATTTTGGAAACTGTTCATTTTCCTCCTGGCCTGCGGATGTAAGTTCGTTTGCTAGAAGGTATCCTAGGATTTCTTTCTCATGTGCTTTTTCAGCACACTGATGTATACGACGGACTTACGACAGAACCGGATCTCCTATCAAAATATGTGGACGACTCTATTTGTGGTTTGTTTTGAGTTTACAAATCAAGTAAATTCTAGAGAACAAGTATTTAGCCGACAATCGTCACAAATACAAGTACCTTTTGATTCAACTGACTTAACAGCTGGAAGGCTGGGCTACGTGACCTAATTAAGGCTAGATAATGATCAGAGAGCACGCGCTTGAGAAAGACGCAGAGTGCGTCGCGGGCGCGAGCGGTCCTATCACAAAGCCTCGCCTTTCAGCCGCCAAGTCACTTGAATCAAAGGTAAAATTCTAGACAACAAGTATCCAGACAACAGTTGTCTTCGGTTATTTGATATACGGTATCGGGTCGACGAAAATTCAGCCATCCACTGGTGCGGCCTTCTTTGCTATAAAGTTTTGGAAAAGGGAAATAAAAATCCAATTCAATGGGATGTGAAAAGAATCAGATAGTCGATTAAGTTAGAAAAAAAAATGGCAACTGATGTTTTCTTGTATCACTGAGCAAAACATGTACTGATATCTCGCTTATCAATCAAAATTCACAAAGGAAAACGTAATAATTTTACCCTTTTCTTCTGAAAACATAAAATATACCTAATTGAGGATGGTTAAAGGACTGAGTAGACAATAAATCCATGCTGTGGTTGACTGAATTGCAGTGGAGTGAAAATGCCGAACCAAAAAGTCAAAATTAGCAAAAGTATGGATTTACAGCTCCAACCTTTGTGACACAGCCACCTTCGACCTTAGCAACAACGACTGATATCCCAAAAACTACCACCACAGGTATCGAGTGAATGACGAATGGCAGCGCAAAAAGGTCTTTTACCTTTAGTACCCCCATCCAAACCTCCGTCATCAGCTCCACCACAAAGAACAACCGAGGGTGTCATCACTGCTGCACCGATTACACAGTACCCACCGTATCCTACCTTGCCACCAGCTAACAACGCTGGATGTCAATGTAACTATGGAACTATATGGCTTGATGTCTTCTTACTGATGGAAGCCACAACTTCTATGCAATTTGGAATTGATGGAGTAAGTGAAACAATTTTTTTTTATTTTGCTACTCAGAATCAGTTCGAACCGGCAGAAAGATCTTAGGGGCAAGTAACAAAATCTCAGGAGTAGAGAAACGAATAGCATCAAAAGCACTAAGCCCGCGGACGACTGCTCTTTCCGCAAATGCTGCTACTTGCCATGCGAGGAGCAGTAGTCCCGGGAAGAATGGCGGTGTTCGTTCGTTCATCCTTTCACTTTGATGTACACAACCCAGGGTCTAATTAGGGAGTTCAAGTAGACCTGTTGGCCAAGCTCATTCGACTCATTGTCGCTGAAATTTGATTTCTCGCCCAGACACCGTAATCCTTATGTACCAGTTAGCTTCTGAGTACGGTCTGGGCAAGATATGAATTGGAATTTCTTGGCCATAACATATAAGTGGTTTAAAGGGACTTGGCTAAGCTTGATGAATAATAGCCTTTTAAGGTGCACCAGATGGGAAGCATTATTGGATTTTCAATATCCGGGAAATGTAGAAAGTGGAACTTTCCGATAAGTTCATGAGAACTCTAGGAACCCACATCTCTGTGGGCATCTTTTTTTTGAGTTACAGCAAACAATAAATAACAATAATAACAAGTCAATTTTCTCAAATTAAACAAAAATAAAAATACTGTTGATGTAATTTGAAGGCAACCGACTACATTGTGTCAGCATTCACAAAATTGACTGTCGGACAAGCCGAACAGTACCAGACCAGATTTGGAGTGATTCGCTATGCTACGGAGGTTCAACTTATCGCCGACTTGGACACCTACAAATCTACAGAAGATCTTTTCGACCTGGAAATAAAAACCTATGACGATCTGGGCACAAATATCGAGGGGTTAGCCAAAATTTTTCGTCTTGTTTCATAATGTGCCAAAGCTTTGCAGAGCCCTCCAAATGGCTACTAACCGCTTTATGAGCGCTGTTCATCGCATTCCCGCACGACCTGTAGTTATAATTGTAGGAAACTCTTATAAGTAAGTGTAGGTAAGAGAAACCACGGCTATCATTTTCTCTAGTGAAATTAATAGATCTGGAGCTTATAACGATCCTGTGCAAGCTGCAGCTAGCTTCCGTGAAAATGGTGGCACAATTATAACGATCGGTAAGTTATTTCTGAATTTTGCATTTGTAACTATAAATTATCATTAAGAGTATGTCCAAGAACATGGCTTAGAAGTGCCCTATCTAAGGTCTCTTGCTTCTCCCAATTACAATCTCACAAATAAGAAGGATGACGGGACACAACTAGTTGCTAACGATCTGAGAGATCTTCTTTGCGAGGGTAAGTTATTGATTCATCTTGTTCGGTGCTTAAATTGGATTTTTTTCAAGAAATTTTAGACAAGATGAAGGGGCAAAAAGTTTAAATGAATTTTTAGCCTGAATATGAGGTAATCAAGCTTTTATTTGCCATTATTCAGCGAACTGCTTCTGCAGAAAGAATTGGCACGCTTACAATTCGGACAAATGGGATGCACCACAAGGCGGTTGTTACTATCCTGTTTCAATCTCAGCTATACAGGTGAATGGTTTCTAATTGTTTCACTCTTGATTTTTTTGCAATCATTACACAATTTTCAATTTTTTAATGATTAAAGTTGCTGAAATTTTATTGCAAATGAGTAGACAATATGAATTTTTCAAGGACAACATGATTTCTTACAAAATGCCAAGAATGGTTTTCGTTAAGTTTAGCCTCTAAAATATTCTGCTTTATTATGTAAAACAAGCAGAAGAAAGCACGTGATTTGCTGGAGATAACACCCTCTGACCCAACACAAAGACACTTTTTGCTAAAAATCCTTCCGCAAGATTATGTCAAAAAAATCTCAGAATCAGCAATTTTTTGTGGCAGAATTAAAACGAATAGCATCTCATTGGTGATGCTTAGAATCATTTATTGAGTGTCACTTCTATTATTGGTTTGCTTAAAGTAGGACACTACCATCACTTTTTGTTGTCTGACTGTTGAAAGAAGACTTTTTGAAGTAAATAGGGGGAAACATATTTATGTGGTTCCAGTCGAGCCTTTGCAAACCGGAGATGACGTATTGGTTCTTAATATCTTGAGCATCTAGGTTTTTTACGCCTTTACAAAAACAATCTGTTGGCATGATTTTCTTTTTATTTTTTAGTAAATTTTACCTAGTATTTTCCAAAGTCAAGTTCACAAAATTCCACGTAAACTCACCTGTCTTTATAAGCACACTATTTCATTCAGACATATTTGCACACTAAGCAATTCTAACTAGCAATCTGATGTCGCGTTTCCCTTCGCTGGTAGTAGACCCTGAGATCATCCGCCCTTTAAAAAGACCCTATTAAGACTACTTTCTCCAATCTCCCTTTGTAGTTCAAGACTGTTTGTTGACCAGAATATAATTCAAAGCCTAAATTTTCTAATATATTGGCTACTTTCTATTATCGAACGGAACACATTCAAAGAAGAAGGCTAATGCCTCTCGCTTGAAGAGATAAATCCTTTGTATTCACCATCAATACCATACCAATATCGTTCAGCCATTGGCACAACGATCATGTATGCACCAGCACAATTCTACGTTGACCCTTGTCGAGGATTCCGCAAAAAATTCATTTTTGATGTCAAGTGAGACCATCATTTGTAAGAATTTTGAAAAGAAAATGATAAACCAAGCTTATTTTAGTATTCCCCTCAAAAACGGAATTCTGGTTGGGCTTGACAAATGATGGTGATGGCTGGAAATGGCAGGGTGGTTACTCTGTAAGTAACCTTCATTGTCAACTAATCGAAGAGGTTAATATGCGGTTTTAGACTGGGTATACTAATTGGGGTCCGGATCAACCAGGCAGTGGTCGCTGTGCTTATATGCAGCAGTATTCAGGATTTAGGTAGGTTAAGGAAGAAAGAAGAAGAGGCGATTGGAGAGATATATAGCTAACGTTGTTTTGATTCCCTCCTCTTTGGAATTGCCGTAATTATTTCTAAAATTAGCAAGTTTGAAATATTTTCATCAGCTTTTAACTCACCTTCTTGTTCAAAGACGGTTCTCCGCAAAATTTCGCTGCCAAACAGGCGTCATCGCTAGTACCCAGATAATCTTCTAGTGCCCATAGTAACGCATACTATTCCTTTTTTGCCAAGAAGAATAGAGTTGTTTGTGAATCTCTCTTGTGACTAATTGGATGCCACATTTCAGTTATAAAAAAGCAAATAGATCAAAAACAACTAGATCACAAAGTGCCATTATTATCATTATTATTTATTATTACTTTTAAGGTTCGCTTGGTTCTCCGACGATTGCTCAGATGACAAGTGCTACATTTGCCAGTCACAACCGTGTGACTCTACGAGATACTGTGATACTTCTTCTTGAGAGAACAAAGAAGCTAATTAAGACGTGACGCAAAAGGTTGCGTTAACGCAAATCCAACATAACAATTTCATTCATTTATGTTGTGTACAAAAATGAGAAAAAAGAAAGAAGTTGAAAAAGTTAGCATATCGGAAAAGAAAAGTTCAGTTAGTAAAAACCCGCTTGTTTCCCCTTTTTAAGCAGTAAAGCAGCTTTTACCGAGCTCTTTTTTCGCTCGTGCGCTATGGGAAAGTGGAAGGACACTAGGCTTGGTTGACTCACCCACCTTACCTAAGAAGGACGCATCCGTTAAGTACTGTGCAAACAAAGGGAGACAGAAATCTTACTGGTCGTTGATTCCCTTAAATGCCTTTTCCAAGCAAGATAAGCCTGCAGGACTTGCGAAATACGAAAAAGCTAAGAACTGTCTTTCTGCTGTTACAAATTACAATGGCTTAATCTCCAAACAAAGCACATAACGTTGAAGCAATCAGGTAATTATGCATGATGAGCCGCAGAGGACGGCAAATCTGGGCATCAAGTCCCGTTCTTGATTTCAATAGCAAATCTATTTAAACACAAAAATGGGGATTGTGCGCATGAAGAAACAATGCTGAAATTTTGAAATCGTAAGCTAAATATGGCTTAGGAAGCGGCAACTTGTTTAACTAGCAGAAGTACCTCAAAGCCACAATGAAAGTCACGTGGTGCATTACTACGCCTGTGATACTAAGTACCCTAAAATTTCCTGCAACTAGCTTTTGCTCCGTATCTTTACGTTTCATCTTTATGCAAAACAGATGCGTCCTGTACTCAGAGGTGCGATAGTCGGAGCCGAGTCTCCACCTACCTTCACTTTTGAGCTGATACCGGGTGACCACCTTCACTTTTGGGTTTGAAAAAAATTTTTTGCTGAAGCTTAAAAGAAGGGAAATAAGCAAAAGGAAAGTAAAAGAAAGTATTGAGAGCATATTCCCATGTAGTAGGTCAATCTAGGCAGTAACCGCAGAGAACCAGTATTTCGAATGACAAAGTAGCGAAAAATCATGCGAAATTTCCACTGTCATATATCTGGTAGTTGAAGATGTCAGCAATTGCGACTTCATAGGTTTTGAAGACCAAGTGTTGTTCTACCAGATAGTGAAAGAATCGAGTCGATTTGAGCAGTGGCCGCCAAAAGCGAGAATTTTGAAAAATTAAGCGATTTTAGGTTGCTTAGTGACAGCTGACGTTTAAACTCCTACAAATCTGGAATTTGAAGGTTTGCAATGTTGCGACTTCATCGTTTTGTAGAGCAAGAATTTCTCTATCGGAGTATATCTTAGCCGTACCGATCCATTGAGATACCGCCGAGATCCAGGGTCTTGAAAAAGCAGGTAAAAATCCGCTTTTTGAACTTCAACAGCTCATAACTTGTTCAGAATTGCACGAATCATGTTGCGACTTCATAAATTAGATTCTTCTCATCAAGAGCTTTCAGATGGTATATAATATATGGGGGGTTCAAAGATTTTTGCGGCTCTAACCCAGGGTGGAGACTTTTCACCCCAAAGTCTCCACCTCGCCCATTTAATGTACTGGCCGGAGACCGCCAGTGGAGACTTTGGGGTGAAAAGTCTCCACCCCCGGACATATGCTGTGAGAGGCGCAAAACCCCCACATATTATACATCATCTGAAAGCTCTTGATGAGGAGAATCCAACCTATGAAGTCGCAACATGATTCATGCAATTCTGGAGAAGTTATGCGCTGTTGAATTTCAAAAAGCGGTTTTTCACTTGTTTTTTCAAGAGCCTGAATCTCGGCGGTATCTTATTGGATCGTTACGGCTAAGACATGGTCCGATACAGCAATCCTTACTCTACAAAACCTATGAAGTCGCAACATTGCACTCCTTCACATTCCAGATTTATAGGAGTCTAAACGTCAGCTGTCACTAAGTAACCTAAAATCGCTTAATTTTTCAAAATTCTCGTTCTCGGCGGCCACTGCTCAGATCGACCTAATTCTTTCACTGTCTGGTAGAACAACACTTGGTCTTCAAAACCTATGAAGTCGCAATTGCTGACATCTTCAACCGCAAGATTTATGAAAATGGAAATTTCGCATAATTTATCCTTATTTTATTATTCAAAATTCTGGTTCTCGGCGGTTATTCCCTGGATCGACCTACTTTGTTTGTAGTACGTTATGACAAAATTTACTTAATAAAATCCGTACAGTCCCGCTATCTTTTACTTCCAAATACACCATTTACTAAACACGTTTATTTTAAATAAATATGCCGCCGTGTACCTAAAAATAGCCTTCAATGGTCTTCTTTGCGTTTGTTTTGCTTATATTCCGCGCACTGGCGGCAACGACCTGGAAGGATAGGCTCATTCGACGTTACCCCCCCCCCCCCCCCGTCGACGTTTTTGGGAGGTGAGTGTCCGGCACTACCACCTTTACTTTTGGCCGGTCAGTGGTAGCTGGAACCACCTTCACTTTTGGAGGGCCCGGCTCCACCTATCGCACCTCTGCCTGTACTCGTGAAATTAGGGCATTAGAGTGGATTGAACACATCGTTTATTAATCTTGAACACATTCTCTTATTCCAATAATAAACCATATCATATGCGATAGAGCAGAAGTAGTGGCTATTGATTCCATGTGCGCATAGCGAATGCGATTCCTAGCCTCAAAATGGATGGCCATTTTTGAGCTAATACAAAAACCATACATTTCTTACGCGAAAACTCATTGTTCTAGCCACGCCAGAACCCCTGCCGATGGCGGCCCCCTTTCTTTCATCGGGGGCGGGGCGCGTAGCCCCGCACTCTTCGTTTTGCGCTCTCCCGAGCACCTTGTCAATATCGTGATTAACATAACCACTGAACCACTTTCACATTGTACTAAAAGGGGCCTGCCATACGCCCTGTACACACTAGGCTATACCAAAAGCCTCAAGTCGCCACATTTTTGGTGCATCGGCCAAACTATCGCCGTAATTGAGGTTGATCTACTCGACCTTGGGGCTCAGCTAGCCCCAAATCACACACTCTTGTTTGTCACGCTCTCCAAACTCAAAAGCAGTTGGAATTTATATTGTGTTAGAGTCAAATAATCAAAAATGTCTTTATATTTTCACAAAAAAGCCATCCGTACCAGTTCGTCCAGATTGGCAGATCTTCTCAAAACGTACGAAGCTCATGGACACGGACAAAAGGTTGACTTCTACTAGAGGACGATCAGGAACGGCATGATAAATGCGCAGCAAACTTGATATTACTAGCTGAATGATCTACTAGAGGACGATCAGGAACGGCATGATAAATGCGCAGCAAACTTGATATTACTAGCTGAATGACTAGAGGTAAAAGAGTATAAGGAAACGCTCGAGAGCAAAGTTGACAATATGGAGCAAGTTTTCATGGGTATCAAATCCAAAAGTTAGCAAAAAGAATGGATTGCGGAGATTGAAGAGTTTGAAAAAGATCGGAATATTCTAAAATTCTCAACGAGTTCGCCAATTTTGTGCTGTTAAAACTCAGATCGCAGACGCAAAAATAAAATTACAACAGGCACAATATAAATTGAAAACCATAAATGGCTATAGGCTTTATTGTAGCCTTAGGCGGTGGATGGTGCCTGTTGTAGTGGAGTTGGTGGTTCCTGATGTGTTATTAGAACACGTAAGCTATTAGAGCTTTTTTAAAGAGACGACATGCACCCATTCGTGAGTGGTAGAATGCTAAGGATTGAAGGCGTGGTAAAGTAGTATCACAAACATCTGGGCAACAGTGGCGTAACGAGGGGGGGGGGCGGAGAGGGGGGCGCTCCCCCCCCCCAAGAACGGGTCGCGAAATTTTTGAAAGTTACTTACATGAGTTATAAATTGTGCAAGTGACTTGTTTATTTTTGTAAACAATTAAAATAATTTTTAAAAATTTTCGAAAATTCAAATTAGCCTTATAAAAAGTTTTTTTCGGGGGCGTGCCTTTTCCAGATTTTAGGGGTTGGGGGCCCGCATAAATTTTGAGAAGCCCCCTAAAATTTTTTCGGAGTGCGTGGCTGAAGCTACGCACCTTCATTTAAAAAAATTTTTGCCCCCCCCCCCGAGCCGAAATCCTGGGTACGCCGCTGCTGGGCAATATTACACTCATATCACAGCAGGTCATGCTTATGGCATGACCTTTACGGTACCTAGCAAAAGCAATGATAAGTTGCAAGGAAGGTGCCGACAAACTTGGCACACTCCTGCCAGCGAGGGGAATAGAAAGCAAAAATGTGCAATTGACGAAATAAATAACACTTGGATATATAGAAATACATATTTGTCGGGATATCGTAATGGACGTTCCTGAGCAGCTAGGCAGATAGGGTCGGAATCCAGATTGAGGTAGTCATGACAGCTAGCGTGAGATGGTGGAAGTAGACTGTGGTAAGGCAGAGTATCGCAGATCATCATGACGTAGTCGACTTTCCTTTTTGAGCAACGAAGATACAGTGGAAGGATTATGTGTCGCAATCTTCTTACCGTTTGTAGGTTGTCGCTTCATAGATTTTCTTCCGAATACATAATAGCATCCTCTGTATCGACGTTCCTTAGTCGTGATCGCTTACGATTTCGGTATCCTTTGTTGCTGATATGATGCCGTCCATGGCAACTCCGCGGGCCACAGTTGTGCAGTCTTCAAAATATTTTCTGAGGCGATCTTCACTTTCATTTTCTTCTACCATCGTCGCGGAATCCATTATAATTGCTAGAGCATACGTTTCTCTTTCCGCATCACGTAAAAAATGGTTGAAAGAACTGGATTGCTGCTCTTCAACTATTTGATTTGATGCAAAATTCTTGTATGTTTTTGCATATACTATCCCATAGCGATAGTAAAAACATCAGCATCAGAATTGGTAATAGTCAAGCTCTTTATCAAGCTCTTCTAGCTGGAGTATGACAGTTTTTTCTCGCTTGAGATAAAATTCTCCAAACTGGACGATTATTGAATCCAAAACTGTCGTTCTTGCTTTAACTTGTG